TTGGTTGTCTCTCGTAGACGATCAACGTCGTAATCGGTGACCCGCTTCGTAGTTGCAGAGCGAAACTTGGATCCTTCTAGCGTTACCCTCCTTTCCCTGATCGTCCTACCATGGCTGTTGGCTTATTAGTTTAGAACTTAGGCTTAATATAAAGTTGCGTGTGTCGCTTACGATGGAAGTCTGGCTACAAGACAGTAGGAATTTCTCTTCTCGAACGAATATACATTTACCTATGTGTAATTTGAATTTTATTGTTCCAATAATCGATAAAATATCTATTATATTATATCGTCGGCTGAATAAATTTTTCCTTCTTCTTGTTTATTTTGTTGCCGAACGTACAACTCAAAGTACGATACAAAGTTAATGAACGAAATCAGAGACAACGTGTCATAGACGAGTAAAATATTAGTCGCGAAGCTGTGCATCTTAACGCGGAAAATAACGCGTATGGAGAAGCTCACTGATAAATGGCTACGTAACGGGTGCTCAAGATACACATAGTTAACACCAGAATGCGGCAGGAGCTGACTAACGACGACTGATGCTCCCACTATATAATTTCAAAGCATACGCACGCGTACACGTGAAACTAAAGCTACACCAAGCTGTTAACACCTTAATATGGACAAATGTCGGATTATATCTCAGATGAGGTTTGCTTTGCATTATTCGACTAACGTCCTCGTTTATTATCTTTGCTTGGCCGACAGCGTAACGTTATTGCTACTCAGGATTGCTACATTTACCATTTTTGCCGAAATCCAAGGGTTTCTCGTTACAATGAACGACGAATACACATAATCCTGTCTATTAGAAATATCATTGTGCTATTGCAAAAGCAAGAGATATTATAATTGTTAATTAATCAGAATTTATTTGCACAATTAGTAAGGAAAGGAAAAGTAGTGGTTTAAAGGCAACATAAAGCATTTGAAAAAGCCACATAAGATGTGAAATTTCTAAATTATTTACTTTGAACCATTGTAAATCATTACTGTCTACCGTTCTATCTATCATCGCCTCTTGTACAGCCGTTTTTCCTAGCTCAATCCTGGCGCGGATTACCGAGCAATCTCGTCTCGTAACGGTAGCTTACATTAAAGATGAAAGGTAACGGGACAACGAATCCCCCAGCAAGAAGAGCGAAAACAAAGAATAGGGAATAAATGTGTACGAAGGATTTTAAGAAACCGTGACAAGATTCAAGACGTCCACCTGACTGACATTTAGCAAAAGCGTCGTGGAACGGTGGAGTTAATGGTGCCGAGTCGGTAACGAGAACGACAGAGAGACCGGCGAAAAAAGGAGGAAGGGGACAGAAAAAAGAGGGTCACGGAATGGATGTGTTCACATTATACCCTCTGTTCTTTTAATTTCTTCAAAGGGCCTCTCTCCGCGACACCTTCTCCTTCTTCCAACCTCGACTCCCGGATTAATAAGGCGTCGACGATGTGATGTCTTTTTTCTTTCTTCCCTAGACAGGACAGCAGACAGCTACCAAAGTGAATGAGAACTCTCGGTTAGAGGATAACAGAGGGAAAGAACACTCTTACTGGTACTTAACAGTGGGATGAGATGAGTTGCCGTTAATAAATGTGTTTCTAACTGCGAGAGAGGGCGAGAAAGAAGAAGAAAGAGAAATTGGCCACTCTCTTGGCCACGTTGCATGCCACCAAGGACTCTGGAGAATAAGTCTTAACGAGAAGAAAACTTTTAAACGCTCTAGAGCTTCCTCTTCCTCGATGCGAGGATGTGCTTAGCTTCGCACTTTTCATCTGCAAATCAAATACGACACTGATGGTAGCGATTGGATTGAAAATCTATTTCATTGGTCAGGACTTGATTTAGGGTGCGTCTACTGGTCAGAACATCCGAGCTATCCGAAAGGTTTCTCTCAATTATCTCGTGCACAGGACACTCGTTTATTTTGATAGGAAATATCGATTAAAATATTAAGTGCTATCGAATCTTTTTCGTAATTGCATATCTAAAGTGTACGTTAGTAGTAATTGTTATTGTGAAATTGTGTTTTCAATAGCAGTGAAAATAATGGACACGATATGTATTATAATTTGTCAATAAATAATCAAGAACTGCTTACAAGTCCTACATTTTGTCAGTTTAAAATATTAGCAGATAATTACTTTTAATCACAAGGATCGACACAATTGATTTCTGTCAAAATCGGGAATACAAAAATCGGTATAAAAATTGAAAATTGCTTCGAAAAGTTGAATTTTCTAGAAAAATAATTCAAAATCAAATATCTTTACGTAGCCTTAGCCTATCAATATAGTTATGAACAACAATTATTAACTTTCATCGTTTTGGAATATTTTCAACGTCGCTATCTTTCAGCGCTTTTACAATCAACCACGATTATTTGATTCATACTATCGCAAAGCATCGGGAAACGAAGGAAAATATTTGATAGCGTAGGCCCTTCTCCGTCGCCTTTGCAGAAACTACCCTCCGGGTAAAAAAATAATTGCCCCTTGATACGCGTCGATACCCTACCTGCGGGGATGCTAGCGCGTAATGATGTTCGCATTCGCGAACTTAGTTCGAAATTAAATATCGAGGTAAAAGAGGGTGGCAAGGACCGTGGCATGGGGATGTTAAATAGGAATCCCAACAGAGAAGGGGCCGACCGGGGAAAGGAGGCTCGCCGTGCACCTGCCTTTTTCCCGGACCACCGTGATAAAAATCAAACTGGAAACCAAACGAGGAACAGGATCATATTATAAAGTTTATCAATCGATAGACAATGCTCGCCGAGCGTAAAAGAGGGAATAGAATGTTACAATTACAATTTTAGTCTGTAAAACAAATAAAGAAACTTTCCATTCTAAGTGGAATTTTTCCAAACTAAGAATGAAACTTTCCTACTTGTCGTTTAGTATTTTTCCAATTATTTTTGTCGATAGCAAGGCTCGCAACTACTTGTCGTATTTTTCTGTATTCGAGCATTTCGAGTTCATCGCTTTGGTGATTTACGTATTCAAAGAATATCGTTCAAATAGTATTCAAATTGTTGGCGTATGCTGCCAACATGGTATATTCAAAGTAGACATTGTTTAGGCTTCTGTGAGTCGACCCGGCTTATGATACAGGACCGCGTTTCTGTAAAGTTGAGTCAAGGCCAACATGGGCACCGAATATTGTAGAGTTTTGTCAAGCACATACCATGTGTCATAAACTTGGTCGGCGAAGGCAGTCTCGAGTGGTTGTAACCCCAGCGGACTGTCGGATGGCCCACACGTGCTCGACTTCACATACCTGGGCCTCCCTTGTTTTGTTAATGATTTTTTGCACGCGGGCCCAGGGACCGACGCATACGGTAGGAAGCCCCCGAAGTTGCCAAATGTTGCACCCTCCACCTTGGACGCCATGCTACGTTGGCATCGTTGCACCCCCGCCACGAAAACTCTTGGTGGAAGGGGGTGCACAAAGTCGACGTGTTTGGCAAACGACGACAATGCCGATCAGATCGTTTTTAGAAATCAAACAGAATCATTTTAGACTTGCTACAGATTGTTTTTAGATTCGTCTTAGAAACCACATAGATTCACTAGAGATTCGTTACAATATAGACTCGGGCTCGTACTTATACATTTTTGTTGAGTTTGAAATAAACATTAAAACCCAATTCGTCTGGTTTAGCCCCCTCAAAAGGGATGGTCCTTCGGGTAGTCTTAGTCGGCACACTTCGTGCAATTTTTACAATATCCGAACGAGCATGCCTCAACCACGGATTAAACAGACATTAAATTCATTATTTAAAAAAATGTATTTTAAGATCAGTCAAAAATGAAGCATTATATTGAAGCGTATGATTAAAGTGTAAATTAAAAAATTGGAAAAAAAGACCCTGTAAAAAATTTTTTGACCAAGATTCGAATCCACAACCACAGTATTATAAGGGAAGTACCTTCTTTTTTCAACAACGATTTATTAACAATAAATTTACAGTTTCACATGTCGAGACTTAACCTAGGTCAACCTTATACAGTCTTTTCTCATATGTGATATTTGAAAGTCCCTGCCTCTCTTTGTAGCTCTATCTTTCATTTTGGAACAATATAGACGTAGTAACTATTTTTCTTTTACAGTTATCACAGTGTGATGTCTAAAAATATATGTTTTCTATTAAAGGGGTATCTTTGTTTACAGGAAAAGTGTATTAAAAACCTGTTTCAGTCATCCAGTCATTCTTTCAAATTTTCTATGCTAACTTATCTTACTAAGTTGTACTAACAGTTTGCTTATGTCTACTTATAGCTAGGCAATGTATACTTAAGGCAAGTACCATATCAACTTTCGCTTCCGACACGTACAGTCATAAAAATTGATGATAACTTTAACATTACATATCTCAAAAGTTATAAGTCGTCTGCCTCCAAAACCGAATATCATTACTTTTTGTTTTTCGAGCTCTACCACTGAGCGAAAAATCAAAATGTCAGCGTCATTCGGGACCTCGCCTTGTTTAAAATAACGTGTTTCGGACACATCACAGCGATGGTGACATTGACCAAAGTCAGTGATTAGCTATCAAGGTAGCTTATTTGATCCGCAATGCAAATTCGTGTATATATCGACGGAAGAGAAAACGATTTTTGCGCGCGCATAAAATTTAACTGGCATCAACAGAAGAGAGAACTTCAAAATGAAAATTTTTAGTCAAAATTTTTAACTATTAAAAGCGAGAATACTGACAAGGATCTACAACAGTATTATAACTTCAAACTTTTTAACAGTCTATAGACTTTTCGACCTTACTTTCGAGTCCTCTTTGGGAAATATATATATTCTGAATAACATGTAGAAACAGTACAAACATTAATAATCTCAAATAACAGAAATATTTATACAATTAATTTTGTACAAGTACAAAAATTCTAGAAACGTTCGCTATACGTTTTTCATACTTAGATACCCTATAAATTATTTTTACTTAATACGCTGATTATTATTTTCTTTCGTTGTTATTTCAGAAACTTCGTCTTACCGATCCCCCAATCTTCGAAATCAAAAATCTATTAATCAACGAAACTGGAACGCAACTTGCACTATGGGGTAGCCTAGGTATAGTACTTGTGAAGCTTCCTAAGCGATGGGGCAAGGAGGGGATGTTCCAAGGCGGCAAAGAGGAAATAACTTGTATGTAAGTAACATTTAAACTTGGATCCTACCATTGTTCTCCACTAATTGACGTAGAAAATGGGAAACATTTATCACATTTGCGAACGATTTAAAAATCCCAGCATGAAGCACGCGAAATCAATTTCGGGAAATAAAGAGGGAAGTTTACAAGCCAAGGAATCTGGTTCCTAAAAAGCGAGATAAGGTAGACCACGAATAATAAATCGCACTATCTGGCTTCCTGCACCTCCGTGGCTCCTGTGGGCGTCCTAATATCCTGTAATTAAGAGGGTGTTACGATGACGCCCGAACCCCTTTGGCCTCCCTCTTATGGAATTAAGGTGGCTTTACTCGGTTAGTTTTCAAAAGTTCCTGGGCCGGAAAGCACCGCTGAATACAAACCGCCTCATCAACGACACATGCCACCGAGAACTACCGCCTCGTGTAACATTACCCTTCACGCCTCTGTCACGACGTCTTCTCGTTCCTGCGTCTAATCTTTCGGGTGATTAGAACCTTGCGCAATTAGCCGCGCAATTGGACATTATGCTTGACATTTTTGAAGCTTTTCCAGCGTAATTGGCTCCAGAAATCGAAGCGACAGAAAGTCACGGACCGACTACTTTCGCATTTACTGCTACCATATTTCAGCTCGCTTTTCTTCGTTAGTATCTAAGAATTATGGCACAATTAAAAAATATTCTAGCCAGCCATGCTATTGTTATTTTGTTACATTACATCCTACATATCGTTTAAAAAAGTTTGGTCATGCCATGCGGCACGTAAGGTTCTAAATATTACCACTAAAGTGATAAATTAGGTGTCTACTGTAGTGGACAGATGCAGTTAACGAGTTAATTTGAATAACAATGAACGATACGAAACGATACTACTTAATTCACCGTGGTAAAAGGATATCCATTTGCTTTAAGTTGCCCTTCGCATTATAACTTCATAATAAACCGAGTCTAGAATAAATGCATTACCTTTCCTCCCTACTCCCCCCTAATTCATAATTCCAAAGTTTTTTGCCGGAAACGAACGAAACGTTTAGCTTGGCAAGTGCGAGGCCAGGCTGAACAAACTGGTCAAATTAAAAGCGGCAGTTTGTGCTAAAGTTTTTTCGTTATTTCACTTAAGCAATTTGAGCTTGTTTCCGACTAGTGCGCGGCTGGAATCGAGGGAATTTATAAGAACGCGCGTGCTCGCGTTAAATGCATGGGATAAAAAACCATGGAACAGTTTGTAAGAGAGTCGTAGCCATTAGGACGAATCTCTGGGATGTAATATCTTTTTCCTTCCTTCGGCTTAAATAAAACTAAGTGGAGTTTATGCATTATTGCCTACGAAATCTTTAGCGACGCGATAAATCTTTTCTAGAAAAGAATAAAATTTTTAAATCGTCCTCTGAACAAATCGCGATTAGGTCATGGAAATGATGATATATTGATGGACGCCATTAATTTACACGACTTTTATTTTATAATTCGATGATTCATTAGATTCAGATTGAACAACATAAAGAGATAAAAACGAACTAATCTTTCTTTTTTCGTTTCTTTAACTTTCCGCAAAAGAATGCAAAAAAGTTCAACGTTTAATTTTGCACCAGTGCATAAATCAAATAATAGAAATATGTAAAAATCTTACACTTAACGGTAATAACAGTAATACTAATTGTAAAATCGCCATATTTTTTATACGAAATATATTTCGTCGTTAAATAAAATAGGTAATAACTACAGTGATCAACACTTTTTAATCAAATTGAAGAGTTTCGTTGTTTAAAATATGTAGTTCTTAAATAATGGCTAAATATTTGATGAAATCAAATAGCCGTCTTTGACAAAAAAAATTTTCGAAATCTATCCAACTTTTTTCTAAGCCCGTCACGCTATTTTAACCATTTAATGTTAATTGATATTTGTTTTCGCGGACGGTATACCCACATAGAGATATCCTAGCATGATTTAAGCGATCTTGCAGAAATCCTGCGAAAGTAACTTCGATACAATACCCAGCATCCTCATCGGCCAACGGATCCCAAGCTACGAAACGTGGAAAAGCGAGCGGCCGAGCTTCGGATTAAGCAAATGGCGGCAATAATAGTGATTATTCGGATTATGATATCAGAGCGCGAAGTGGGTTCGCTTGGACTTACCAGCAGCCACTAACTGCTGCGCCACCAAATCCCGACTTCAAGACACCGGATTAAAACTATTACCACTTCACGGCACATCTACCCTTCGGCCTTCCGTACCAAAACCAGTCCTTTCCTCTTTCCTCTCTTCGCAAAAGACTTCTTCGACGCACGGAAACATGGTTATTTTAAATACAATACGATAAAAATGGAAGATTTCGTCAGTTTCTTCCTACTTCTCGCGCGAACCAGGCCTCTCTCAAAATATACTTCCTTTTAGCGATTATCGCAATTTCATGATCTACATATCGTATCATATATATTTCTAAATTACCTACATTCATTTAGATCCATGTAATATCAATGTTAACAACGTATTAGTACTGTTCGCGTAAGTATTTTACAATACTATGCCTTCATCTTACTATAGCCCTTGCAGTCCAATTAACTAGACAGTGTACACGTGAACTTTTGAAACGTAAGTGCTCAGGAACCCCCAGCAAAAAGTAACATTTATCGATTACAATATATCAAAATCTGTGTGTCGTATATTTCTACGTTCAAGTTGAACCAATATACCTTATTTAAAAAACATAAATAAATTCTTGCTAATTTTGTAATGGCAGTGTTTAGTCTTAAATGGAGGTTTAAAACAACGGTAAGTCCTGTCGACCTTTACTATAATGGTTTGCTGCTCCTTGTTACAAACATCTCAGCGGATAATCGTTATAGGAAGAAGGCGCAATTTGAAACGTGCACCGTGGACCGGAGTAGGTAAGTCGTGGCTTGGCGTCGCGAATTGTGATATTAATTCGGCAACAAACTACGAAACCACTGTTATTTCGTGTGCCACCGGAAGATCGTCGCCTCGTGGTTGGCTCTCGCGGCTAATTATTGTTTTAAGGATTACCGTTATGTGTTTATTATGCGGTCTACGAGATCCTTTCCTACCTTAATATTCGGTAGATTTCTACTTCGGTCTCTCTACGTGGCGTACCACCAGAGAGATCTGCACCCCGTTTTCCGCCTCCTTTCCTCATCCCTCAAGTCGCAAGCCAGCCTACGTTTATGAATAATTTTCACCTTTCGTGCTACCTACCCTCACCATCCAACCACTCCATTTCCAACAAACGTTCCTCCGAATCGTCCCTGGAGTATTCACCTCGTGGACCCCTAATGCCGTCCCCGTTCTTCCATGATCCCGCTTTCTGATCCTTGCCACTCGTTGAGACATTCTTACAAGAGAAAAAGGTATTGACAGCATTCGAGTGCTAAGGAACTTCGAACTACAAGGACAAGTAAATAAGTAAAGAAACCATTTTTTATTTTTCGCACGATTAAACTACAACACTGTCTAGACCTCAATGAAAGGTATAGTAACCTATTATTTCACGCCAAATCGATCACTTCTGTACTCGCTGACAAGAATTTCTTTTAAATTGAAATGTGTCGTAATCCATATGATACAGGAGGGGGTCATCATTTCGGTGGTTTCGAAATTGTTTAAAAAATACGAATCGTCAAAGCTGTTAGTTTTCACCGATTATGTATTACGAAAATTACCATAAAAGAATCTTTATCTTCGCATCCGTTCAAAATACGACTTTTTCATTTCTTTTAATTTTAATCGTAAATGATTATCCTTTTTAGTTAATGTTTTCCTTTTATTCATAAAGTTACTTTTGCAATATAAAAATATTCAAAATATTTTTGTTTGGCAACTTTAACCCCCGAGTTGTCTTAAAAAATTCGAAAAAAATCTCCATATTTTGTGTACCTTAGACGACTGAATATTGGGAAATCAGTCGAGGAGTGTATAGCAACGGAGCATATACTATATAGTGTAGATATGTATATAATAGTAACTCTCGCAAGCGCTCGACCGACCCCCAACGGCCGAATTTACCTTCCCCACCTTCCCCAGAAGTCTTTGTCTTCTAAATTCTTATATCACAAAATATATTATAAAGTAACGTAGATTTTAACACTATCCATAACTTTTACTAAATTTACCAATTTATCGTTGAAAATGATCCCAGAAATTTATTGCAATTTTCGGTGCATTTTCTTAAACATGTGCCATTTACCGAAAGTTTGTGTTTTTAATTTGTTTATTGCAAGTTATGTGCAGTATTATAGTATCTTCCAAACTGCTAAACAATCTTTTTACAATATTAACAATTGGTCTCAATTTTTCATGTTAAATGTTTATCAACTTTGAATTGAGTTTAAAAAAAAATACCAAAAAATACCTTGATGGTTTATTGTATATTAATTTAGGGCACATTAAACTTTAATTTAACGGTAATTTTATCTGCCCGAATTTGCCCGAAACAGAGAAAATGATCAAAATCATTATTGCAATTACTGATACCGGCTCCAAATCAGAATCGGAATTAATCTAATAAAAAATGTTCTTTTATTTATTTACAAGATAAGAAATTGTTTCTGTATCTATTTTATATTTTAATTAAAAAGAAATAAAGGAAAAACATTACACAGATGCAAAGTCATGATTTTCTTCCCGAACACCCACATACTCGAAATGATCGTTACGATATTCAGGCACTTTCTCTAAACCAATCAAAAAACTTTTCGTACAAAAGTTACACAGCAATCACTTAGCAAGAAATTGCAATAGTAGAAATTAACAAAAAATCAAGGTCGCTTCAATTTTTTTTACAAAATGTATAATTTTTGTGCATCAATTGATGCATCTTTGTATTCTCTTTAAAAAAGTGCAAGAAGTCGTAGGTCGAAAATTGACTAGTTTAGAAGCTATGATTTTTGTTTCGAATTCCCATTCACGCGACACATTGTGCGTCGGCCAAGAGGGCGAGGACTCTTCTTTCACCTACAAAATCGGGAACCAAGCTCCATCC